GTCTAAAGAGTCAGTAGAAATTAACTTAGGGAACTCACCAGAATGAGCCAGACATACCCCCAAACACACATAGTAATACTCATTAACTGATTTTAAAAGGGGCTTTTAAACAAGGTCATTATTTCCAAAGTTTAAATCATATGTCCCACTGGTGAACATCTAAAGGTTTTGGTTGTGAAACGTTAAATATGGCAGAAATGATTATGATTGGCTGAGTTATTGTAATATCAGTCAATTGGAACAAGTTGAGATTTTTCTAGATGTCAGTGGTGATATAAGGTTTTAGACAGTGGTGATATAAGATATAAGATTTTAGAAACAAATAATGGGGGAGAATATGGAATACAAAAAATAGGGGCATTTGAAAGTTGAATATAAGAATTTGGAAAGGTAAATCATGCAAAATGGATTTAGGAAAAGAAAGTTTGGGAATAATTCAGATGAAATATAAGGTTAGAGAGAGCTAGAAGGGAGAGAGAAGAAAGTTGAAGTGGATGGAAGGGAGGAAAAAAGCAGCAGAAAAAGAAAGCAAAGTTCATATATTGATCTGAAATAATTTTCAATCATTGACTAGCAGTTCTTCCATGTCAACATTAAGTCACCACCCCTGAAATGTGTAGTGAATTCAGCTGGTAACATTCATTTAAAATGAAAAAAGATACTTTGTTTTTAACATTTACCTCTACTTGGTAAATTTGGCTACTGTAGCTGTCCAAACACATGTAAAAATCTGATGATTTTTGAACTCTGTTTTATCTTGCTTAATTTAGATTTTACATGACAACCATGTATTGACTGTTGCAAAATTGGCTGAGCATCTGAGGTTTCCCAGATTGTGCCACACATTCTTTTAACTCTTGTATTAAGAAGCTTATTAGTCATATTCTCATGAGAGAAAAGAAATGATGCCAACATTTGATATAGTTAATTTTAGGTCCATAGATATTGGGCAACTGTAATTTGTTTGGATTTATACAAATACTTGTCAATGGAATATATACGATATACATCTTTTTAATCTTCATGTTCTCCATCTTCAGTCACAAATGTCTCTTCTGGGCTGGGATTTAAAACCATCTTACCATCTTACTTCTCTCCAAACAGCTTCTTCTCTGATTTGAGTATTTTTGAGAGTTTACACATGAGGAAAATAAGAACACTGCCCAAATTTTATCTGGACTGGAAAAAAGGATGCCGAAGTGGAAACCTGGCATGTGAACGTTCAGAACCTCAGATTTAATGTAAATGCTAATGTTTTTACTCAGGGAAAAAAAATAATTTTTGTTGCAATGGGAAGCTAGGAATTACAAAATTCTCAACATCACACTGCTCATTCCCCTGAGGATGGAGACACACAATTTCTTATAGTCACAGAATTGGAATGAGCTATGAGTTTTAACCTCAATTAGTATAAATCCAAATTCATGGGGAACTTTAATCCTCAGTCTCCTTAAGAATAGTGACTTCTTTTAAGCTATCTATTCTATTTTCTTCCTGCTCCATACAATTTTTTTAAAAAAATAATGTATTTGTATAATGAATAATTATTTTCTGCATTATTAATAATGGTCAGTTGGTAATCCTTGAGTCTATTTTGCATTGAGGTGGTGGAACTAATTGCAAAAATTGTACAAATCTGTCAATAAATCTCATTATTTATCATCTGCTCATTTCTTCTTATCTTATGCTAGTATAGATCAGCATGTTAATATATCTATATAATATGGATCAGCATATTAATACATTCCATATAACTATTGATTAACATATTTATAAAAGGTATAAATCTGCATCATAAACCCATGCTTTTTCATTGTTAATCTAATCTCTTTCCTTCCTTTTATTTCTGCCTTTTATCACCTGTTTACCAATTTTCTATGATTGTTTGTGTTTTGAGTTAGGCACAATAGAAAATAGTAACGATCTAATAAATATTGATTAGTCCAACATTTTGTTTCTAGCAGGACAAATCAGTGTATGCTCTACCTATTTACATTACCTGTTCTTGGCTGTTGACTACTTTTCATATTCTTAAAACATGTAACAATAGCATTCATAGTAAACAATAAAATACTTATAGGCTGGCATATAATGAACAATATAATCACACAATCATAATCACCCAAGGGATGGGTAAAATAAATCAGAAGTACTGTTAGGAGCCCAGAAGATCAAAATGCATAGTAGGAGAAGGTGGGAAAGATGGGAAAAAAAACCCCATTCACTGAAATATTTCTTTATGACTATTTTAATAATCAAACTCAAGAATAAAATAATTTATTTATACAGTAATATTTCTAAGGACATTTAAGGGCATTTAATAGGAGAAGGAGTTTCCAAGCATAATAGGGATTGTGCAGGTTATTCAAAACAAATGGGTGACCTTCTTGATTTTTCTTCTCAAAAGATTATCTGACTTTCAGATTGGATGAGATGCTGCTAATGGATGGAATAGACTGTAATGATCAGACAACACTTCAAATCACTCATATGGTTTAAGGATGTATAGCACATCTTACAGACATATAGATAGTGGTTTGTTTGTTTTTCTTAACTATAGGGTCATGTTTTGTCTTTAAAATCTTGTCTAATGTTATGCTCTGCAGACAGCTACAATCTCTACCCTGAAGTGAAGAGCTATAATTCATTCTCATATCTTTCCAGCTCCTTTTACACAAACATACATAGACAACACCTCTTTGGTTCTGCCAGCAGCAGTGAATTTCCCTGCTGAGCCCTGTTGTGGGGCTGCAATAAGTAACTTGTTTCTGCACATAGATTTAAATCTCTCTCCAGCCTTGAGGAGTAGAGTCTAATTTTTTTAAAGCAAAGCTAAGATACTTAAGGTATCCAATCTTGTGCCAGGTATGAAGGATAAAAATGTGCTATCTCTTCCCTACCCGGGTTGAAATAATTCAGATATCTACTAGATCAGGGGTGGGGAACCATGGCCCTTTTATGACTTGTGGACTTCAACTCCCAGAATTCCTGGGAACTGACTCAGGAGTTCTGGGAATTGAAGTCCACAAGTCATAAAAGGGCCCATGGCTCCCTATCCCTGCACTAGATAGTAACACAGTATGTTTTCTGTATGTTTTTCTTGCCACCTGGTGGTTGCCCAGATTTTTGAAGCCTAAATAGGTAGTTCTGATACACCTATGTAATTTTTGTTGTTGAATTCATTGTAGGGTTGTTTAGTACTGTGCATGCATGTATGTGTTTGAATTAATAACCGAGAAACAGAGCTGAGGCCTATTCCAAAATCGGAATGCAGAAAAACCATACAAGTAGCTGACAGTAGTTCCTGTCATCTTGGCTAATGGCAAGGGATGCTGGGAGCTGAATTTTATTTATAAATTCAACATTATCTGAAGGGTGATTATGTGCTTTTTTCATTCTCTAACTGCATTTGGAATTGAAAACACCATTGGAACCAATAGATAATTGTTCTTCTCCCTAAATCTATTAGTTGTGAGTCTGTGGGGAGGAGGGGGGAGGATCCTTTGGGGAAGTGAAGAAATATTATGTTTAACCCATTCTTCCATGTAGTTTAACCACCTGAAGTTTAAAATTTTCTTTCATGCTGCAGATTTGGATAATAGCTTTCCTTTGGGATACTCCCTGCTTTGGGAATGATGCCATATTGGTATTGCTGGTTATCTCTTTGGTTAGATATTAACTAGTTTGCTTATTTGTTCTCTGACTTTCTTTAAAAGTTCAAAGTGATCAATATTAGAAAGAGCCTAAGTCATCCAATGTCTTCCAGGAGTGTTAGTTTAACAGCCCTGGTCATCAACAAGATTATTTATGTTGTTTGTTGTTTTAGACCAGCATCCAAGTATCTGCCTTCCAATAACAGTGGGTTGCTATTCTTTAAAAACCCCAGAATATGGGAATTGTAATTTAACACATAAGGTATGAAGCGTGGTGACACCAATTAGCAACATTAAACAATAAGCAGCAAAAAAAAATGCAATCAAGTAATGCCTGAAAATATAACAGAAAATCTGGAAACAAAACAATTAAAGATGTTGCAAAAGGGAGAAGATTCAGTTTTCCACTTGGAACAGTACACAAAAAATTGACAAATAATGAGTTAAATCTTGTTAAAAGCAACTTTTCTTCCACAGCTGTCTAGACCATTGTTAGGGTGATATGCAGAAAACTGAGCAAGGGCTTAATCCTGTAGTGCAGGTAATATAGGGAGGAGAACATGTTTGGCATAGTGGTTAAGGCACCATGCTAGAAAGCAAGAGACCATGAGTTCAAGTCCTGCCTTACCTAGGAAAGCCAGCTGGATGACTTTGGGCCAATCATTCTCTCTCAGTCCAACCACACCTCACAGAGTTGTTTATGAAGGGAAAATAGGAGAAGGAAGTGTGTCAGACACATTTGTCGCTTTGAGTTATTTGTAAAAATAATGAAGGCGGAATATTAAATAAATAAATAATAAATAGACTGTATTTTTTTTTCCTTTTCTGATTCAACTTATTGGTAAAATTATATATTCACTGGAACACAGAGATGACATGTACAGAAGTTTTGACTCTCCAACAGGTAGTGCTTGGCGAAGAATCAGTTACAGTATGCTATTGTGATCACGGAAAATAACCATATGGTTTGGGATGAGAGAGCGTGCAGAATTATTCCGAAGTTCTAATTGAAGATTGTGGGAAACGGAAAAAAAAGAGTCCCTCATGCCAATCAGATCAGATTACACTTGTTTATGCAGCTGGAAATCTAGCCACTTCCATTTTTAATATCCTGGTACATTTACAGGTGTTGCTACTTACATAGATCAGAGCAATTCTTTCTTACCCACACACCTTGGCTATGTTTAAGTACTGCATAATTTAAAGTCCCATTGCAGCCATAGGGTGGAGAAATGCTTACCTTATATACCAGTGATGGCAAACCTTTTAGAGACCGAGTGCCCAAAACCTGCCCCTGCCCCCGCCCCCCTGTTCCACTGCGCCCCAGTTTGCCCCTGACCCACCCACCTGCAGGACCACCCACCACCTCCACGGCCTGGCGCAGATCATCCAGGCGGCCCAGCAGCGCCATGGCGGCTATGCCCTCCACCCGTGCCCCGCAGCATCATCTGCGCATGACAGGGCACAAGGGTGGAGTCTTGTCCCCATTGCCCGGCTGCCATGTCCTTGGCTGTGCTGCTCCGTGTGGGCAGCGCCCGGGGTGGCTCTCCTGTGGGGGGCTGCTGGTGAGGAGGGGGCACAGGGCGAGGCGGGGCTGGGGCAATGGCACACGTGCCCACAGAGAGGGCTATGAGTGCCGCCTCTGGCACGCGTGCCATAGGTTCGCCACCATTGTTATATACTATGCACGTTTTAATGTAAAATGCTTCCTTTGGGCCAAGGCAACAAATCAGTAGCAAATCAAAAAACATGGGCACAATCAACACCATTTAGTTGTGATTTAAAATAACTTTAGATGTTACACTGTCACAGTAGGATTGGAAAACATGCATTCTTTATTCTTTCCTTTCCTACATTATACCACTGTTGTTGTTTTTTGTCCAAAATATATATTCTTTACCTTCCCCAGCAAGTAATTGCATGAATTGTTATAGAATTCCTTTAATGTAATTCTTTCTAATAGCAAACTCAAAATAGCAAAACCTGAGAAGCAAGGGGATAATGGTAAGGCTGAGAGATCTTGATATTTGTGGTGCTATATTCTCTTTCTCTTTCAAGGAATCAATAACAATAACAATAATGGCCAATGAAGACCATGGTTATGCAGCAGCCAACGAATATTAACTGCAACTTGGGAAAAGAAAAATTGTGAATTTTGGATTGGGAGAGGGGGAATGAATGGCCTTGCTGAAAGAGGACAAAGTGGTTGGCTGACCTCCTTGAGCCAGATTCTCCCTATTGGGATCTTGTTGCAGATCTGATTTTTTTAAAGATATCTTATACATTCTAAGAATACAACAGGATTAGTAGCATGAAATGTTAGTGTTATGTACTACTTCTACATTCAACCCAAAGTAGCTTCGAAGGTCCACATCAGCAGCAACAAAATAGCAATAGCATTTAGACTTATATACCACTTCACAGTGCTTTACAGCCTTGCCTAAGCAGTTTACAGAGTCAGCATATTTCCCCCAACAATCTGGGTCCCATTTTATTGAGCACAGAAGGATGGAAGGCTGAGTCAACCTTGAGCCGCTCAGAATCGAACTCCTGGAGTGAGCAGTGAGTTAGTCTGCAGTACCGCATTCTAACTACTGCGCCATCATGGCTCTTGAAAATAGAGCACACTTTAGGAAATTCAGTGGAATTGTAAATGTTAAAGACCAAGATCATATATTGCTAATGTTATCCCTTTAAAGTTCTTAATTTGATATTTATTGTTCTAATCTGCTTGTTTTATGATTAGAGTCCAAAGACTAGAGATTATGAATGATGTGTAAGAGAACACAAAGCTCCAGATGAAGGAAGTAGATGGGGGAAATCCACCTTGGATTTATTTCAGTGGAGCTTTATTATGGTCTCATGCCCATCCCTTTGTTAAAGTCAAAAGGAGCAGCAGAATACAGATTTTTCTTAAGGCTATTTTTGGGATGGCAAGGGGAAGGATGATATAATTAAATGTTTTTATTAAAAAGAAAGGAAATACAGCAAGTGGAAGTTAACAGAGAAGTATTCTGAGTTAGTTATTTAACATGTCACATTTTATAGAGGTGTGTATGTATATGCATGTATATGTAAACAAGATGTTGAGACTCTAGAAAGAGTACAGAGAAGAGCAACAAAGATGATTAAGGGACTGGAGGCTAAAACATATAAAGAACGGTCAATGGAATTGGGTATATCTAGTTTAATGAAGAGAAGAACTAGGGATGACATGATAGCAGTGTTCCAATATCTCAGGGGTTGCCCAAAAGAAGAGGGAGTTAAGCTATTCTCCAAAGCACCTGAAGGCAAGACAAGAAGCAATGGATGGAAACTAATCAAAGAGAGAAGCAACCTAGAACTAAGGAGAAATTTCCTGACAGTTAGAACAATTGATCAGAGGATTGACTTACCTCCAGAAGTTGTGAGTGCTCTAATACTGGAAGATTTTAAGAAGAGATTGGACAACCATTTCTTTGAAATGGTATAGGGTCTCCTGCCTGAGCAGGAGGTTGGGCTAGAAGACCTCCCAGTTCCTTTTCATCTCTGTTCTTCTGTTCTTCTGTTACATCTACATTTTCTCAGGAAAAGATTCAGTCATGTAATCATCTCCCTGTAGTAGAAGGAAGGAGAGCCAAAGCACAATTTTCCTTTGCTGGGACCCCTTTTGTACTAACTAGATCAAAATGTGCTGATACAGCAACATCTTACTGTAACTCATGTTAAACCATGCTAAACTAAAAGTCCTATGGATACCCTTTGTCTACAAGTGCTGTCATGCATGTGAGCACACTGTTTACTTAACATAAAAAGCACCCTTTGCCCTGAAGAAGAACTCAATTTATGTTGATTAAACTTGCCTGATGGAGAACCAGGAACGTTAGAAAAATGACAGCTCTTGGAGCACTTGACACAGCATGTGTCACATATCAGCCTGATAAGCTTCACCCCTTGCTCATGGGGCATTACAGTCTGATGAAGAAAGCTATCAGAGGGAACTTGGTTAACGTAACCTACGAGCCATTCAGTGCAACACAATGGGCGGCTATAAATTTGCAGGGACATTTATTATGGTTATCTGTTCAACAATTGCATACTGGCTGTTTATGCTTAGCTGTACACTCATTGGAAATTGTTTTATAAGAAATGGGGAGGGTGTGGAGGAAGGGGCAAGAGGTGGACATTTGGCTTGATTTCACCTTCAAGAATGCAACAAGGGAAGAAAAAGAGATACGAAATTTTGGGGTCAGGATAAGGTTTCCCTCAGGGTGGATTTCCTTTAGTTTGCCTCGCCCCCCCCCCCACGCCCCCAGGTCTTTCTTTCCAATTCTTTTGCAGCTTCTGAAAATAAAAACAAAATATCCTCCCCCACTTTTTTTCTTCAAATCAATCTTTCTTTATAATGGGTTGTTTTTTTGGGGGTGTGTGTGTGTGTTATGTTCTGGAATACTGAACCTCTTCCCCAGTCAATACAATCTTTATCTGGATCAATATGTTCCATGTCTGTATGAATTTTTTTCCCTCCATTTTCTCTGCCCTGTTCTTGCAGTATAGGCTGAAGAGGTACCCCTGAAAACTGAACTCTCTAGGTATCTTTCAGAGTAAAAATATTTCCACAACCAATTTTAACATCAGAGAGATTTTTAAAAGTAGCTACAAATAGCGGTAATAATAAGCACCAGCATTTAAAACAAGCTGAACGCTTACTTCAAAAGTGAACCTTGGCACAAAAACTCAACAACCCCAAACTGCCCTTCTATTGCAGTATAATGGTTGATGAAGTCTCCTCCCTGCTTCTCTTCCTCCTTCAGTTGCCTGCTCATCTCATCTTGGCTGCTCAGCATAAAAAATAATTTTCAAAGAAAACATTCCTCATTCTTCATCATCAACAACTCAGCCTGGTTGCATAAAATGGAGTCTTAACCACTGTGTACAAATTCTAAAATTTCATCTACAACTCTGATTCCAAAAATGAGTTGGACTCTTTCCTCACTTTCTAGTAAACGTGGTAACTAAAGAAGTCTATTAATTCCTACCAGACACTTGGGTGTGCACCATGTTTAGCAAGCAGACTTTCTTAAGAACATTAGGACATGGCTACCAAACCTCTGGAATTCCACTGAGGTCTTTGTAGGGCTCAAAAACATTTTTGAAAATCAGAATGATATGAATGCTACAGTATTTTGGAGTATTATACCACCCCCCTCTCTCTATAAATGTTCAGAACACACAATCAGAATAGGCTAAAATAATGTGATGTAACAATTTCTGCTTACAGAACTAAGCATTGTAACTATGAGTAAAAGTAATAATAATAATAATAATAATAATAGTAGTAGTAGTAGTAGTAGTAGTAGTAGTAGTAGTAGTAGTAGTAGTAGTAGTAAAGTTGGAAGGGACCTTGAAGGTCATCTAGTCCAACCCCCTGCTCAGGCAGGAAACCCTATACCATTTCAGACAAATGGCTGTCCAGTCTCTTCTTAAAAACTTCCAGTGTTGGAGCATTCACCGCTTCTGGAGGCAGGTTGTTCCACTGGGTAATTGTTCTAACTGTCAGGAAGTTTCTCCTTAGTTCTAGATTGCTTCTCTCCTTGATTAGTTTCCACCCGTTGCTTCTTGTCCTGCCTCCAGGCGCTTTGGAAAATAGCTTGACTCCCTCTTCTTTATGGCAACCGCTGAGATATTGGAACACTGCTATCATGTCCCCCCTCGTCCTTCTCTTCATTAAACTAGACATACCCAATTCCAGCAGCCGTTCCTTATATGCTTTAGCCTCCAGTCCCCTAATCATCTTTGTTGCTCTTCTCTGTACTCTTTCTAAAGTCTCAACATCTTTTTTAC